CAGAGATTTTTCTTGATAATCAAATTTTAAAATTAATTTTTGGAATTCAAAGTTTCTCAAAGTTTCTAGGTAAAATATCAACAACTCTCTACATAGTTTTTTTTAAAATAGTGAAAACCAGAAAACTAAAGTGAAATAAATGTCGTCTTTGTTCCTAATTTTACATGGACATTTCACTAAGAATTTAATAAATTGAAATTGTTGCAATTAATATATTTTTAAATACAGGGTGTCCCAATAACCATTGTATTTCAGAGACGAATTCAAAATCGTCTTTGTAAAGAATTAGCGTTGTGTTACCTAATTGCAATTGGTCAAAATAATGTTACGCGTAAACGGTAAAAAAACTGTTTTGTTATTCTGCAAAACGTTGTATGATGTTAATAGTTCTGTAACATTTCTGTACGATAAACAGTGAAGAGAAATTTAAGAGCGGCTGGGTCTGTAAACACGAATTTATTAAATCCCGATCGATTAATCTAGATATCCACTGTGGGTACATTTATATTGCTGCTGAATCTGCTCTTTTTCTCTTTTTTAAAATTCTTTCATTTAATGGCGTCCCAAATTTCAAATTTCAAGGCTTCTAATTAACTGTGTTCGGAAGTTAGTTTACGCCACTCTGTGACTTTATTGGTTGAATTTTAAACAATGTTCTATATACAAACTAAAAATTTAAGTTTTTACCTCAGAGTACTTTTTGCGAAATAGCGCGTTTGTAAATTACAAAATCTTTGGCGACTTTTCATGATTAAAAGAATAAAGAAGACGACGACAAATATTTTCTGGTTCCTGGTTCTCACGTATCGGTAATATATCAAGTTATTCTAATAAATGTATGCACTATTTTGCATAAGATAAAATCGCACCCTGATCTCTAATAGTTCTCCTTAAATCTATTTAATTGAAATGTTTAGTTATCATTATTAAAATTAGGTGGAAAAAATAATCAAAACAGCCAAGGGCTATATTTTCCACCTTATTGTTTTATACTTGTACTGTTAATATAATCATCAATTTGTATTTGTAAACTCGTTTTGTACACAGATACATGTATTTTAGCAATAAACTTTATCTTATCTTATCAAACCTCTTCAAATGTAGAGAATTTGAGATGGTTTGAAATGTCGTCGTCCAAAGGAACCTCTCTAAAATTATATTTATTGTTAAATTAGGCTTTTTCATGTAGATACAGCCATACAGTGGTCGCCGAAATCAAATATAATATAAACATAAAATAATTGTGGTTGTGTTTATATACTTAAAAATCACTAACAGATAAAAAATTAAGGATTACATTGTAATGTTTTATTACAGCGGGTTGGTTTCTTTAATTATCCAAACCATTATTTTTTTACTTATTATTGTTATTTCTCAAACAACTTTAAATAATATTTTTTGTCTCATGAAATATCAATTTCATTGATATATACAGACCACGTTTGGAAATCTTAATGAATCATAATAAAAAAGAAGAAGGAAAGTAAAGTTGGAAGTTTTGTACAAATCTTTTTAAATGAGAACCTGAATTTTGAGACGGGACTTTAACACCCCATCTTTTTTATTGATTTTTTCAAAGAGAAGATTTTATTCAAAATTCTTTAAAGCAATATTTAGGATTTTTATGATAGCAAAGGGAGTTTGTTTAAAGGCAATATGAAAAGTTTATGAATTGTTTTTTTATTAAATTTTTGCAATATCTTCAATTTTTTAAATGAAAGAAAATGCAAAATAAAAATGTAAAAATGTTTACAAATATTGATCAAATTAATGCCGTTTATTGAACTATTTATTTGTCAGTAAAATGTTTACCCGTGGTATGTTTAGTATTTGTTTAATGCTTTTTCTTCAGGAAAATATTTAAATCTTTTAACATACAAACTTTAATTGAACATTCTTAACATTTATTTGAGAAGAGGCGGTTTAAACTCAGAGCTTGATGAATAAAATTAATTGAAAAATAATGATATAGATATGGGGGGAAACAAGGAATTTGTTCTTTTGTGGTTCTTAACCCTATTCCGGCTGTGGGGGGGGGCGGGTTTCCTGGGACCCCCCACCCCGACGTTTTTTAAAAATAACTCAAAAAGTATTGGTCTGAGGCTGCTTTACTTTTCTACCTAACAAGTGCCCCTTACGTTAGGCTCTAAGCGGGGCTTTAATATATACCTAATGCATGAGCCCTCAGGCATATTGCCTAAAGGCCTTATTTTACTTTTACCCGACTTAAATATATCTTTAGACCTTCTTTCGAAAATTGGATTTCGACATTGTATAGCTCTTTGAAAAGTCTGGAACTAAAGAAAGCTGATTGCACAATTTTTGCGAAGACATTTCGTACAAATTTTTGCACAGATGCCTTTAAAGAGAATTTGCACATTTTCAGTTTTCCTTGAACACAAATTTGGTTTTTGAAACTTTACAAATATTTTTGCAAATTTGAATTTGCCGTGGCAAAATGTATAATTTATCTCTTTTGCGAACTTTTTGTTTTTGCAAATGTTTTGCTTGATAACTTAAGCTATAAATTTTGAAAATTTTGCAAATTGCCAATTCGCATTGCTACTACTAAAGTAGTGCCCAAGGGCTTTCCAAAAATGTATTAATTGTTATAGATTCTTAAGGAAAAAGAGGGGGGGTCTCTGGGACCACCCACCCCTTTAGACTATTTTGTTTAAAAGATAAAGCAATTTCTTATTTTCTTTATACAATACATTTTAATAAATCTTTCATCAGAAAGTTTCTGCAAAATTCTATCTTATTGAAACTGCAGAGAACCCTATACAGACAGGTACTGCAAACTATACTGCATCTACAGGGTTACTCATAAAGATTGAGACTGTAAAGACGACCTGAAACTCTTTAAATATGGAAATCCTAAGGCTAAATTAAGTCTTCTTTATTCAATGATTTGACAGTTTGCAGGGAATCATGAATTTAAGAAAATACAATATAAATTCCGTACAGTCGTCTCTTGTGGACAACCCTGCACTTTTAGAATAACATTTAACATTTTGTATATAACAAACAACAGACAGAACTTAGCAATTAAAAACATTTTGTTTCTAATTATGATCGTAATTATGAACAGAATGTTTGTAATTATGAACATTTTGTTCGTCACTATGAACGGAGATTTCGTCATTTCTAATTTTTGAGAAATTTTCTGTTTGATTGGTGGACCTCAAAAAGCCTAAAACAAAAATTCAGGAATTTTTTTATTTTCACTTTATTTTAGATATAAGGCATTCTCAAATTGAGACAGATGAAGAGGAAAGAGATTATCAAGGTTTTATAGATATAATACAGTGATAAACGATTATATCAAGACAATGAAGAAGACTTTTTTTAAAATTTTTATTTTTAAAAAGCTTTTTTCGAATTACAAGTTTACAAGTAATCAAAGAGAAACTTTTTCAATTGACAGCTTCTCTTGACTTCTATGTTTATGTGTATCCATGCTGTTTATCAGGTTCATATAAATCAAAATTAAAATCGAAAGTCGTCTTAATTGTGTTGAAATAATTGCATACCACTGTAGATCAATTTAGATATTGACTTAAAATATAAAATTTCACTTTACAAAAAATAAAACAGTTGAGCCAATTTAAAAGATTAAACATACAAAACATACAAAACAAATATAAATAATTAGCTCCAATAGAAAAATAGCAAATACTCAAGTTGATTTATAGAGATAAAAAGAATATCTTAAAGGGAATATATGGCGTAATTTCAAGTGGCCTGACATGTAAATATGGACATACCCGATTGAGAGTGGTACCCTGCAAACCTTTGATTGATCATCGAAAACAGAGATCTCAGTGTATATATCTCTTAAATGCAGCGTAAAAAGTCGTAGAATTCCTGAAAAATCTAGAATATTCTTTGTCTAACGTGGTTTTAAAAAATTCAAATGTTAAATAAGGAATATTCTGTCATTCTCGATCAATCTAAGGTTTAAAGGGTACCGATGTATATGGGGAATCTAAGGTTTAAAGGGTACCGATGTATATTCATGTACAAAATTGATAGGAGGGGGGGGCTGGGGGGGGTCCAAAAATCGTATACTAGGACAGACCCCAAATACGTAAAACCTTCATTTAATGAGTGAAAATTGGTTCTGAAGGCATAGAACCTCTAGTTTACAGTGCCCCTCCCACATCTAACTGAGATATTTCTTTAAACGTTATGCTATGTAATAAATAGTAAAGCATTTGTATTATTTATTATTTCTAAAAAAGCATTATTGGCAAATTAATTTCTATTTTTAATGAAAAAAAATATTTTATAATGAGATCAATATAAAAGAATCATATTTTAGGAGATTTTCTTTTATTATAGAGTTTTACAAAATATTATGTGCCCCCCCCCCTCCTGCACAAATACAGGCCTTATAGAAATAAATTAATTCGGTAAAGACCCATTTTTATCTGCTATATAAGGAATCTTGACATGTAATAAAGTTATATCATTGTAGTTTTAGGATAATATTTATAATTTACGTAAGTTGCGCGGAACTGAACAGAAGTTTGAGAATTGACTGACAACCTAAAATTCGTTAGATATTACAATCTAAGTGTTGAATTATAATAATAACTTGTCATTTTACGAGGGTTTACAGCGAACAGTTTTCATTTTACAACCAAGAGTGTGAAAAACAGTTTTTTCACACTAAAGAAAATGATTTTTGAAAATATTTTCTAACAAGTAGCTTGCTGCAAAGAAATGCTTCATAAGAATTTGTTTAGTTTTGTTATTATTGTCAGCAATAATAGTATTATTATCATCTTTATTATTTTTATTGATAAAAGAAGGTATCGAATAATTAGTGCAGATAGACCAATAAAACTGTGGAATAGGAAGACGACTTTTAAGCAATTGGTTTTTATTCCACGGTTTTATTGGTATATCTGAAGTTGTAGTGTACTTTGAGTAGTAGAAGTAGAAGTAGTAGTAGTAGTAGTAGTATAGTCGAAAAAGGATTTATAGAAGTAAAATTAAAAGTCGTCTTTTTCCAGACAAACTTAAACCAAGATGCCGATCGTTCGAGGCTCAAGTATGATGTCCCTTGGGACCTGGAAGGCTAGGAGCACCAAATACCAGAGGTAATTAGGGTGGAGGGAAGTGGGGGTAGGAGCACCAAATGTCAGAGGTACGAAGGGGGAAGGGATTAGTAGGGGCGTACCAAATACCATAGGTGGGTACCAATGTATATTGGGAATCTAAGGTTTAAAGGGTACCGATGTATATTGGGAATCTAAGGTTTAAAGGGTACCGATGTATATCGGGAATCTAAGGTTTAAAGGGTACCAATGTATATTGGGAATTTAAGGTTTAAAGGGTACCGATGTACATTGGGAATCAAAGGTTTAAAGGGTACCGATGTGTATCGGAAATGCCCCTTTTTAAATGAAAGTTCGCATAAAATTGCCCTTACAGTCCCTTTAAGTTCAATTTTAGAAAAATCTGAAATGCAGTTTGAGACAGATGATGATAATGATAGAGATTACACAGGTTATATAATAATATTAATATTGACCAAATTAAAAATGTTTATACAGTGGGACCCAAAAACTGTGGATTGGGAAGACGACTGTTAGCCTTGTATTATGATTTAAAATACGTACAGCAATTGTGCAAATGGCCCTTTCACTAATTTTCACTATTTTTCATAATAACATCAAATTTACATTAAAATGCTTAAATGCGTAAGTGATTATTTTTTAATTTAGGGAACAGAAATCTTTGCCCACCATGTTTGAAAAAAGGTAAATTTGATTTTAAAAAATGTTGAATTGAAAGCCGTATTAAAGAGACTATAGGTGTAATTTCAGTATTTAAATTCAGTATTTAAAGAGTCGCCTGTCTCATTTACGTCATTTCTTTAAGATATGTTCTATAAAGTTGACATATTCTACTTAAAATTATGTATACAGTCCCTTTAACATATTAATGTATGCTATTTATAGTTGACATATTCTACTTAAAATTATGTCTAAAGTACCTTTAACATATTAATATATGTTCTTTATAGTTGACATATTCTACTTAAAATTATGTATACAGTCCCATTAACATATTAATGTATGCTCTTTATAGTTGACATATTCTACTTAAAATTAGGTCTAAAGTACCTTTAACATATTAATGTATGTTCTTTTTAGTTGACATATTCTACTTAAAATTACATCTACAGTTTCTTTAACATATTAATTTATGTTCTATATAGTTGACATATTTTACTTAAAATTATGTCTACAGTTTCTTTAACATATTAATTTATGTTCTTTATAGTTGACATATTCTGCTTAAAAATAGGTCTACAGGACCTTTAAGAAATTAAGATATGTTCTTTATAGTTGACATTCTACTTAAAATTACATCTACAGTTTCTTTAAAACATTAATTTATGTTCTTTATAGTTGACATATTCCACTTTAAATTAGGTCTACAGTACCCTTAAGAAATTAATAAATGTTCTTTTTATTAAGTTGGATACCAATGAGTGCGACCTTAGTATATTAAAAAGTGTTAAAACACTTTATATTTAAGTTTGGAGGTTTTAAAACAATTTACTACGATAATTTTCCCATTTGTAAAAACAACCCTTAACATATTGTTCGTAACTGCGAACAGAATCCTAGGGTATAATATTTTCGAGATATCCTTTAGATTCAGTTCGCAATTTTGAAGAAAACGTTTGGACTTTTAACAAAATGTTCGGAATTTTTTTTCAAAATGTTTGGAATTTTGAACTAAATTTTCGGAATTTTGAACAAAATGTTTGTATTTTAAAAATGTTGTGGGTAAGTTCGATAATATAAACAAAATGTAACGTTTGTATCTAACAAAATATATATAAAGTTTCCTCTAGGTTTTGATGAACCATCTTTGAATCTTCTCTCATGGGATTGGGTTTCTTCTGTTCAATTCTGTTCATTTTATCACTGTTTTGAAAATGAAAAGGCCTTGGAAATATTCCGAAGCCATACAGGGCCTGTCACTCTAAATGGATATGATATAACCCCAGCTAAACATCATCAAGCACTGAAAGGAAAAGCTGTTTTAATAAACAGTTCACGTGGCATAGAAAAACAAGCAGTGTTAACAGCTAGTAAAACAGATATGATGATCGATGGAAAATCTGTTTTTTTAAATCCTAAAAAATCCCCAAAATGTGTGAGACCGGAACCAATGATAAGCTGCTAAATAAATGATAATATTTGCTGTCCGTTTATTCATTAAAGAGAGAGAGTGCCAGTTTACTAAATTAAAGAAAGGGAGTGCCAGTTTATTAAATTAAAGGCAGGGAGTGTCAGTTTATTTAATTAAAGTCAGAGAGTGCCAGTTTATTAAATTAAAGGCAGGGAGTGCCAGTTTATGAAATTAAAGGCAGGGAGTGCCAGTTTATTAAATTAAAGAAAGGGAGTGCCAGTTTATTAAATTAAAGAAAGGGAGTGCAGTTTATTAAATTAAAGGCAGAGTGCCAGTTTATTAAAGTAAAGGCAAGGAGTGCCAGTTTATTTAATTAAAGGCAGGGAGTGACAGTTTCTTCAATTCAAGTCAGGGAGTGCCAGTTTATTAAATCAAAGTCAGAGAGTGCCAGTTTATCAAATTAAAGTCAGGGAGTGCCAGTTTATTAAATTAAAGGCAGGGAGTGCCAGTTTATTAAATTAAAGGAAGGGAGTGCCAGTTTATGAAATTAAAGGCAGGGAGTGCCAGTTTATTAAATTAAAGGCAGGGTGTGCCAGTTTATTAAATTAAAGGAAGGGAGTGCCAGTTTATTAAGTTAAAGGCAGAGGCTAACAGTTTATTAAATTAAAGGAAGGGAGTGCCAGTTTATTAAATTAAAGGAAGGGACTAACAGTTTATTAAATTAAAGGAAGGGAGTGCCAGTTTATTAAATTAAAGGCAGGGAGTGCCAGTTTACTAAATTAAAGGCAGGGAGTGCTAGTTTATTAAATTAAAGGAAGAGACTAACAGTGTATTGAATGAAGGGAGTGTCTTTGTAGAAAAGGAAGAAGTGTATCTTTATAAAAAGAGGGAGTGCCAATAATACAAGGGATGGGAGGTTGTTTTTTTTATAAACATATTTATATACATACATTATACGTATATGTATATACATTATATAATTATACGACTAACTATCTATATTTCTGTATACCCTACATTATCCTTTCTATCTGTCTGTATTTTAGGATAAATTGTATATTTGGTTGAAACCCAAAAATTTGCTTTTATAAACCGTTGCATGGTTTAACCGGTTAACAGGGATTCCTGGTAAAACCCTAAAAATATAGGGGTGCCAATTATAAACATTAACTAGTCGTTTTAAGATATAATTATTGATTCTATAAGTGGGATTGAAAAAGTTTAAGATCATGATTTTTTGTGGTTTTTTTTTTGGGACACCATTTCAATCCCGGTTGATATAGGTGATACTTTACAGGCAGGTAGTGAGGTATGCAGGTAAGGTAGGCAGGTATACAAGTACATGGTTGAGATTTCAGCAAAATCAGGTGTAGTAAACTACTCAAGCCACAGGCCCTTCAAGCAACACACAATTATAATACTTTACAAAAAAAAAAATTACGAAATCAATTTCATTTAAAATATTTATTTTTTAAAAGTAAATTTATAGTTTTGAGGAAATATTTAGTTTTAAAAGTTATTACATAGGAGTGGCAAGGTTGAACTATCTATCTATCTTTAGAAAACTGCCTGTTAGATCTACTAGGTGCATCCCGGTATATAGGCAGTTATATCCTGTGCTAGATTGAGTATATCAATCTATGGCTTTGTTCTTTTTAAAAGGAACTGCAGCTTCGTAGTTATCAGATGACAGTCCAATAAAGAAGGGATGGGCATGCCCAAGTCACAACAGTACCTTTAAACCTTAATCTGATTTAAAATGTCGAAGAAAACATATTTTATCTACCCTGTCTTAAATTCTGATAATTTCTCCATTATTTCGAAGCAACAAAATACAAGGCACTTTTACAGAGGAACCAAAAACTAAACAGTTTTACAAACAAAAAACATGGATATCTTACTCAAACTTAATCAGACAAAGGTTTTAAGGGTACCATCGTCAATTGGACACTGTATCGATGGAGGGTCATTTGAAATTACGTTTACAGTCCCTTTAAACAAATCTGTGACTAAACAAAACGATCTCCTTTCTTTGGCGCAAAGTTATGAAATGAGTCATAATTGTTACGCAGAATATATTACAACTCATCTTTAAACTCTTGTCACGGCTTTCGATCTAGAATCTAATTTCTATGGTAGTCCATACAATACCTCAATACAGTGTAGATATATATCATAGTGATTCTCAGTCAGTAAGCCTTTACTTTCAAATTCACCCCCCTCAGGCCCCCCCCCACGTAAAACTAAATACAGAGAATGCATTCGGGAATATTTTCATTCATATTTTGCTTTTTCATTCAAAACCGTCTTAAAGGCCTTTTATATCTCAATATAAAAATACAGGCCCAACAAAAAGTATCGAAAAACAAATACGGGTAATTTCCTAGAATACGATTTTTGGACCCCCCC